ATTATGTATGTAGAAAGACTGTGTTGAGTTCATTTATCTGAATTTGTACAGAATTTAATATTTATATACACTGATGAATCGTTTGAATGTAGAGTCTTGATTATTATAGAAAAAAAATTTGTATCTAAAATTTCATGCCTTATTTTAGTTCAGTTTAAGAGAATCTGTGAATTCTCTCAGCTTTATATGAGGTCACATAAGATAATAACTTTATTGTGTGTATTTGTTATAAATACCATAGTGTAAGGAATTTCAGTCATTCATTTGTGTATTTGAAATGGGATTGGAACTAATGTCTTGGTGGTGTGTTAAAATAGCCATTAGCAGAACCATTAATTTTGTGAAACTAGGTTTGTATGGTCTGTCATGACTAATCAGATTAGAAAGCCATTGGTATGTTTAAATTTCCATAGACATATAAAGGGGGGTATTATTCTATTCCCCAGTGATGGAAGATTTAGGTTGCTTATTTTTGTTATTTTTGAAGGTGAAAGTATACATGTGACATGATGTAACGTAACACATATTTACAAAAGCGAAGAGACTACACAAAGTTGGAAGGGCTGAAACTGGTGTGATACCCTAGAGTTTGGAAAAGAAAGGGAAAAAGTGGAAAGGACCCTGACTTACTGATACAAGGAAGTAAAAAAGGTCAGTCGATGTAGAATTTTGACTGAATCAATGCCATCGGGTTATGAAACTGTACAGGGTTTTGTTTTCAATCTTTCCCTTGATTCAATGATGAATTAATTCTATCGTTTAACAGATCAGCTATTGGTATAATCATACGAGTATCTGAAATTCCTTAAATAAGTTAATTTATAATGAAGAGCATCTTTCAATCATTATGCACTATCATAACTAATTCTGAATTTTATTGTTATAAATTTTGATTAAATTTTGTCTTTCTATGTAACCAGGGCTCCTGTTATTCTATTCAATACATCTGCTCAGATAATTGTCCATTCCAATCATACATTTCACACTTTATATTGATATTTACTTGTTCTGAACAAATTACACTGTCAGTGATCACCTCTAGATAATGATAACCAAAACCAGACAACCCACCCCAACAAAGTAGGGAGGGGAATCTGACAGTCTAGATGATCATAACTCTAAATAAAAGATTTCAATAGTCATTATTTTTAACATACAAAATTTGGTACAGAATTAATTGTCATAAATAGTGTAACATCTGTGAACAAGAATCCCTTGAAGGTACTGATGCTTTACTGGGTGAAAATAATTTTCATGCATTCAAGACAAGTTCATTAATTCCTCTCAACTGCTTTGTCTTGAAACCATCTCAGATAATCTTCAATGATGACAAGACTTCCAAATGATCTACTGTGGTGGACATACTGGATTAGATTGACACAATTTACATTAAGAGCTGAGCTGAAGTAGTGACAGTATGATCACATTTACATGGCAGCTGTCATCAGTCACATTGGTTGTACAAAAGGTACATTTTCATTAAAGACCCCTAGGTATCAGAAGAAGTATACTAATGAAAACTCCATGTTATTAGAACTCTTCTGATAAAATCTCCATTTCAAAATGACTTTCTATTTATGAGCAGTGGTAAACATTTTCAAGATGACCACCATATTGGCCATTGATGTCAGATCAGTACCATTTTAAGGACTAAGAAGACATAATAAAAAGCATTCTGGCAAAAAAATATTATGACCTTCCACTCCAGAGGATTAACAATTAACAGTGAGCCTAATTGGATATCAAATGTGTACCATTTCCATTTGGAACAAACCAGACCTCTTAAAGAAATCTTCTGATAAATGTATATCAATATAAGCAATAATCTAATGTTAGCTTTAATAAGCTTTCCAGATGACTATTGTGGTGGCCATATGGAACAAATTTTCTTTACAACCAACTAGATGTCATGAGAAATCTTTCAGTGAAAACCCCATTCTTACATCATTCATAAGAAGCAGTTATAACTGAACAGCAGTATTTTCATTTAGGGCAAACTAGAGATCACAAATCCTCAGGTAAAAGCCCAAAGTTGTTATGACCATCATGGAGTAATGATAACAAGATTCTTAAGATGGTATCAGTAGCAGCTTTATTGGATGTTTGAGCAGCACCACTTTCATTTAACTCATTAACCCCTTAGGTGCCGTGTTTACGGGGCAGGAGATGGTAGCCTACTTCTGAGATCTGTAGCGTTAATGTCATGTGCAACACAATAAAGTGGGTGGTATTATTGTAAGGTAGACAGATGTTGCTTTACGATGATACCAAATAATATGAATGTTCTAGTTGCACTACAAAATACTGAGGGAAAAGCGTCATTTTTTGGACCAAAGTTTTTTCCAGCTGAAATTTACCCGAAGTTGTGATCCAGTTTTGTGTCCGGATTTTTAGACTTTTTGGCCTCAGATCTAAGACAGACCATTCTGAATTGCACACAGACATGTGAATCTTTGCAAAAAGTAGGATAAGATGGGCATTTAGAATAAAGAGTGGTCTCAACATGAGAATGACGGGTCCGTTAAAAAAAAAGTTCAGTTTTTACCTTTCTGCTCATGCTCAGGCGAAAGAGTCAATGAAAATCGACGTTTCTAACACAAATAGACATTAAGTTATTTGAAAATGTCTTCCAAGTTGATGGATTATAATGTATTAAGAAATATCTCTCAACATCGATTTCCTACTCGCATTTCAGGTGAAAACAACGAAAACTTCCAGGGGTTAATGGGTTAAGATAAACTATAGACATAATAAGAATCCTTCTGGTAAAACCCCTTCTCAATAGGGTTAATGTGAAAGTAATACTGGACATCGGACAGGTGCTATTTTCATTCAGGACCAAATGAACATCATAAAATATCATCTTATGAAAACTCTTGATTTTTGTTTGCTTAGAAGGAGTAGCATAAGCAAGATATTCAAAATGGTGTTGTTGTGACCAGCCCGGAAATCAGATAACATTTTCATTTTCATCATAAAAAATTGTTCAATGAAAACACCATATTGATATGACCAACCAGTAAGGAGGAATAGTGATAACATGATTCTCAAGATGGTAGTAGTAGAAGCCATATTGGATGTGCAAGTGGCACCATTTTCATTCATGACCAATTAGACATCACAAGAAGAGTTCTGGTGAAAACCATGTCAGAATGATCATTTGTTCAACAACAAGATTTTCAAGATGGCTGCTCTGGTGGCCATACTGGATGACAAAATGGCACCCTATTAATTTTAGGACCAACTTGATATCACAAGAAGACTTTTAGCAAAATTCCCATGTTAATTTAACAATCCATTCAGAAGTGGTAGTGATAACAAGATTCTCATTAGAACAATAGAATCCATATTGGAAGTGCAAGAAACTCCAGTTTAACAAGACACCAAGAGAAATCATTTGGTGAAAACCACAGGTCAATATAATTTTTTTGTTCATAAGTATCGATAACAATATTTTCATCATGGCTGCTGTGGTAGCCATATGGGGTTTCAGATTGGTACCATTTTCATTTATAACCAAGAAGACATCATAAAATGTCTTCCAGTGAGATTCTCAGGTTTATATTGTCATCCATTTAGGATGAGTAGCAATAAGATTTTAAAGATGGCGACTGAAGCAGCCTTTCTAAAAATAGATAAAATTGGACAGAATGGTACCATTTTCATTTACATGTAGAACCAACTAAGCATCTTACTAAGTATTCTGGTGAAAACACTAACTATCCAAGCTGGTGGAGCAGCAAGACAAGATGATGGCTGCCATTTTGGCCATATTGGATGTCAGATCAGCACCATTTTCAATCAGCACCAACCAGACACAATAAGAAGTCTTTCAGTGAAAAACCCATGTTAATATCACCATCCTTTAAGGATTAGTAGTGATAAAAGTTTCAAGATGGTATGTGGTGGTGGCAATATTGATGTCCAAGCAAACCATTTTCATTTAGTACCAGCTAGAACATGGCATGAATGTGTATGTAAAGTTTCATGGCAATCCTCCATGTAGTCTAGAAGGAGTATCAGTAACAAACATGTGCTAATGGCCAGCAATACAACAAAGAGCTTATAACCTTTCCTGATCTATGACCAGTAGATGTAAAAACAAACAGAAAATTGGAAATTCTGATAGTAAATGCCAGAATAACAACTGTTGAAGAAACCTTAAATGAGAGCAATATCTTGAAAAATTCCATAGTGCAGTTCATTTTTTGGCCAAACCAGATATTCAAATATGTGGTATATGTTTTATGGGTTACCTGACACTTGATAAAATGTTTACATCAATAAGATAAGTGTCCAATTAAAAGATGATGGTGCATATAACACTGCTATGGTACCAAAACTTGCATGGAAAAAAGATTTATCTCATTTTTTAAAATGCTACTAGTGTATTAAGTATTATCTAGTCATTGTCTTCACCCCCTTTGAAATTGCATGCGAACCCCAAACTTAGAGGATAGGACACAATTTCCCTGCCAATGGGATTCTAGGTGCAACACTATGATATCATTTTTATTTATAGCAGCAGAGTGACTTCTTAACATGCATTAGTAAGACCCTGGCTACAAATATATTGTTCCAACAGTGTTATATGTACTGACACACAGCTGCTAAAAGCACCTGTTTACTTTTTATTTATGTTGGCACTGTAAAACCATATACTGATAATTAAAGTTATCAAAAAATATTTTAAGTAATACATGCACATAGATAAGTAGCTCTGAGAGAGAGAGAGAGAGAGAGAGAGAGAGAGAGAGAGAGAGAGAGAGAGAGAGAGAGAGAGAGAGAGAGAGAGAGAGACATATCACTAGGATGTCTGCAGTGTGGCAGTTTATAGTGATGTCTAGCAATGGGGCATCATGCCAAAGACATGTAGCATCATGATGTCCAACCCTGAGTCCCATTATCCTGATACCAGGCCAACCAGTCCTAATGCTAACCTCTTAATGCTGAGTGTAAAGCGAGGCAGCTTTAAGTACCATTTTTGTAAGTCTTTAGTATAACTCGACTGGGGATCGAACACACGACCTCCCACACCCAAGGCGGAAGCTCTAACAACTAGGCCACCGGAGCAGTTTGTTAAAGATAGTTTCCTTGAAGTTCTTTTTGCAAAGATAAGAAAGCAGACTCATCAGTACATCAACAACAAGGAAAGCTAGTCTGTCTATAATTTATGAATAATTACAACAATTTAACAAATGTAACATAGTTATCTTGAAGTCAGTGACATTCATCAAAATATATGACAAGGAAACATTTAAGATTGAAAACAATTATTTTATCCACTGATTTGTTTGCCAAACAAAAACTTCTGTATTGGTTTCCTGTAATTATTACAAAAACAATAAATCATAAAACACTACTTGTGAATGGTAATTTTTTTTACATCATTTACACTTTGAAACAAAATCCTTTGGTGATTATCATTAGAGTTAAGTGCTTTTTATTTCCAAACCCAGGATAGGTCAAAGAAATCTCCCAAGTTACATTAATAACAATTCACACCTAACACCTTAACAGGAGCAATTTGCCTCACAATAATCTTTGACAAGCATACTGTTTAGAGTCAGCAAGCTCACAAACTGACAGAGGCTAGGAAGTCATCAAATCCTAAATACTTACAAAGATTATATGTACTATAAGCAATCCATACATATAAATTTTCTGAAAAAGCATATCATTCAGAATGTGTTTCATATTTCAGAAAAAAATACACCATCTAATTCTGTGTTTTTGTCTTCCTTTCATCAACAGCATATGAGTAGAAGTGGTATATAAAAAGTTTAAAGATATGAACTATCCATAGATTCCTTTTCTATGAATTCATTGTTACTTACATTATCAACATCATGGGCTAGAAATAATACAGCTGGTGTGTTGCAGCCATCAATTATATGCCCTTGCAACTTGCTTCCTCTTGCAGAAAATGTATAGCAGACTGAGATGTTATTGACTTACATGACTGTAGTTTGATTTGGAATCTACCTCATGGTAATAAGTTAAAGCTCAATAGCTAGTGTACATCTAAAAATGGTTTTCATGTTGTGACATATCAATACATCATCCAGTACAAAACAGTGTCATTGCCATAAATATAAATGTCAAACAGAAAACAACAGGTCTTGTTTTTGTTAATTTGTTTCTTTTTACTCTGTACAGTTTCTGACATGGGGAAAGTGTTCAAACTCAAACATAATAGCAACCAGAGGCAAATACACTGACATTTCTCATGGTGTTGGTGATGTGTTCTATTGCACAGCAAAATGGCACTGCAACACTTTAAGTACATTATTTATTGCCAAAGCAACTGGAGTAAGCACTTTATCCAAGGATACACTGCTGAAGCAGACATGACCTAATCCCATGGTAGGATTTGAACCCACATCCTTGAACTTGGTCATATGCCCTACACATTATCCACTGAACTATGAAAGCTCCTGCTTCTATTAGTAACTATTTCTGGCACTGCTATATACCTGGTACTTTCTTTAATTTATTTTGCAACAACAAATAACTCAGATGGAATGTACATGTGTGTACAGAAAATTAATTTAATTTATATGACTCTTTTCTCATAAATGGCCAGAGGAAACAAGTACGTTTTTAAAACATGTGTACTGTTGTTTAAATGTGGTTAATAACTATAAGCAATGATGGTCAAAATTTGCATATAGTGTCCATATATGTCTGTAAACATGTCACAACCAATCTTAAAAAAGGCATTGAAATGAAAACCTGATTTTACTAATGTCAAGGATCAAATAATGTATTTGTTCATATTCAAACATTCATTTTCTTATTTGTGTGGACACCATACAGGTGTCTAGCCAAGATAAACTACATGAAGCAAGTCTATGAGATGACCCCCATTTGATCAAAAGCTGACATATTTGAATTATGGCTCCACCCACATCCTACCACATATATCAGGTATTTTTAAAAAATTCAAACAAAATATTCGTTTATTGTTTTGTTTCGTTTACTTGCTCTGTCATTCAATATTGGTCGTTCATCTCCTCTGCTGCTTTAATTAAATCAGTTTTAACAGTCTAAGAAATTTTTTTTATCAAAACCTATAGGATGCCTAGATCTGAGGTCATGTAAATTTGTTGTAATAAATCCATGTCTGGTAGCTTGTGCTTTTGAAAAGAAGTTTTAAACTTAATTATGTCCATATCATCTGAACACCAAGTTTGATGAATATTTCGCAGAGTATTTATATGGTCTCCATTAAAAACAACTAAAATATTGCAGCTGTCTCTATCACTTTAGGTATTTGTGTATATCACTGAGTAACATAAATCATGTCAATAGTTTTGTGTCTGCCTCTGGAAAATATCCCAGCTGGATTTGACTGTTTATCTAGCATCACATCATTATATACTATGTTGTTATTAATAAATCTATCCAGGTCATCTACAGATAGGACTTCATCAATATCAGTGATAAAATCTATAATATTAATTCCATCTTTGTCCAATAGTTTGGCACTTTTATTAAGAGCTTTAAGTACTTCATAACACTACTGATGATCTGCTGATGGTGCTACTAAATATAATTTATCTCACTTGAGCCATTATCAGATTAAGCAATAATTGTGTCTTACCAGATCCAGATAGGCCTATTATTATCATTCTAATAGAATTTGGTAATACTGGATGGTGCCTTACTGGTTCTTACTTTCAGGTCAATGAGAAGTCAGTTATATAATAAATAATATGGATTTATATTGTGTTTGATGCTGAGTACCCACGTCCACCAATTGGGAAAAGATTATTTATCACATAAATTCATCTATGAGTGATATTTTGGATTAATTAAAAATGGATTTGAATTCAATCAAATCAATAGCAATAAACTTGATAACTCTTTAAACAATATACAAATTGTTACACAAAGTCAGAATTGGAAAAAATGGCATTAATAATTATTGTAAAAGTGTAAGAGATATTAGGTCTGTAAACAAAGATACAGCCCAAGAAATAATATTCAATTCTATAAATACAGTTGCTAGATATTTCTGTATTAACCATGCTTCAGTAAAACATGTTGCAGATAATACACAAAAATCTACATTTTCAATCAAATATGATCAGCTGATCACATTTCAATATATTTGAAATTGTGAAAATCCTACCAAAAAAAAAACAACAGAAAAAGATAATAATAAATAAATCTGATTCAAACTAAATAATTTTTTTTTACTGTATAGTTTGATTTTGCCAAGTGTTTGTTTAGCCATTACTACAGTCAAGGGTCCACCTTCACTGTCCCTGCTCTGTCACTTGTCTCACCTTTGGCAGACTCAAATGACATAATCTTTCTCAACTGCATTGCATGATTATTCGCCATCTTTTTTGTTTTGTACTCCTGAGATAATTCAGATCTAACCTTTTGGACTGAACAAGGTCAGAATGAATGTGCACCAAGGTGTAAATAGCTTTACCTGTGTGTCATTTACCTTTGCCAAGGATTCTAACATAGAATGATAAATTAATTTCATGAATCATTAACTGGACCTAAGGTATATTTATTTTCAAATTTTCATTGCTGTAATGATTCAAAATGAGACATATTTTTCTGAGAATTAAGATTTTCAGATATCTTTATACTGTCATCTTGTAATTTTAATAGCATAAATATTTTCATAATTCATTATATTTGTTTCAAATGAAGATAAAAAAATGTTTCTGAATAATAATAATAATAATAATAATAATAATAATAATAATAATAATAATAATAATAATAATAATAATAATTATAATAATTCTGATAAATAATGTTACTGAATCATAATATTTATGTTTCTGAATAATAATAATATTAAAGTTTCTGAATCATAATAATAATGTTTCTTAATCTTAATAAAATAATATCAACAACAATAATATATTCTAAAATTAACATAATAATAATAATAATAATAATAATAATAATAATAATAATAATAATAATAATAATAATAATAATAATATAAATTCTGAATCAGATTATACTAATAATGTTTTTTTAATAAAACATAAACAGTAGCAATAACATTCACATTGTCATTACAGGATGTCCCTTCATGCTAGTAAATTCATGTGTCTTAATTTTGAATCATTTAATATTAATACTATTATTATTATATTGGTATTACATATTATTAATGACCCTAGTTTTGTAAAGGCCTCTCTTGTAGCCCACAGGCATCCCATGATGCTATTTCTTTTGGCTACACTCTTTCTGAATGTACTGGGTGGGGTATACACTTCAGTGAGGTCACAAGGGTTATTGAGGGGGGTGTCCATTCCCCAGTTTAAATAAAGAAATTATAATTATATCATAAATATTCATTCATGTATACATCCCCACAATATTAAAACACAGGACAGTGCAAAATGTGCACACCATGTTGTTTGATGTGGTGAGATGTACATGAAATCTCTAATAGGTGGAACACCCCCAACCATTAGGAAAAATGGCATAGTTTTGATTACTGTCAACATGTGTCAGCCACAGGAATCAAACCCTGATGCCCTCAGTATGACAATCCAATGTAATAATGCTGTTCCACTTTCGAATCATACAAATACACTTCAAGAAATTATTGTATAGTTATCTAATACTGAATAAGCAGGCAAATTTTGTACAATCAGTAAACTGAATAAAAATCATAATTATTGTAAAACTGTAGCATAGATTTACTTCTACATGTATTTCCAAACATACTTTATAAAATATGATAATTCTACAGAAGCTGAAGATTGCACGCAGATCAATATAACATGCCTAACACACCTGGTGTAGAAAATAAAATCAGTTATTTGTAGAACTGTAGCATGGAGTTACTTCAATTTCCAAATACACTTCATAAAATATACTGTATAAAATAATCGAAGATTACATTTTCTCTGTAAATTTTCATTTGTTAGGTTAAATATAGGTATAATAGAACTGCATTGTAATATTACCGGTGAACAACTAAATATAACTGATTTTTAATTACACACTTGTATAAGCTGACATGATTTAAAGTCCTCATAGTCAAAAAAGTGTATAAATATCTTTCTCGTTGCTTCACTGACAGCTAAC